AATGCTAAATTTTTCATGCAACTGCTTATCCAGGTTTTTACCACAAACAAATATTGTTGTGTGCCACACCATTAAGTCTGGTATTTTCAAACTGTGAATCTGACTCCCCTAGAGAGGTACAATCTTCCTGGAAACAGACCACCCTACCCCAAGAGAGGGGGAAAGAAAGGAAGAGGGTTACTTTATTTTGTCTTTACTTAAGATTTAAAGGGAGGTTAGGGGGTGAGGAAAAACAGTCTGCTAAAAGTTGGTAAATTCTGATTATAAAGCTATAAAAATTGATGGATGCATCACAAACGCACAGATTACTTCAAGCTCCCTGTAAATGGACCCAAATGTACGACTCTGCAGAAGAGTCAGTTTGATCAAATTTGAAAAACTTGGGGACACAAGTTACCCAATTAAAAAAAAAAAAAAAATCAACATATGTTCATCAGTTGCAAAGTTCACCTTTCTTTAGGAAAGGGACTTCCATTGTTTAGAATAAAATGTAAAGCTTTAAGACAAATCGAGTGTTTTGACTTGGCAAGTACAGAACTATTATTCAGGTCCTCTTGTTCAGCATTGTGAAAGTTGTATGGAAAAAAATATTTCTACTTTATTTTTCACAAAGATGCAACATGGCATGTTAGATGCAAGCTGAAACCCTCTAGAAACTGTATGCTTAGTAAATAAACACTCAATTCACAAATATTCTACCTTAAACTTAATATAAAAACGGGCATTAGTCAAACATTTTTACAGCACTGTTCATCTTGAAGGATCCCAAAGCATTTATCAGATGTCTTCTTACTGGAATTGTCATATTTCAGTACAATTAAACTTCAGCATCTTTCACATAACATTTTATTCTATACATAACCTTATAAAATGGGTAGGAGGGAACAGAAAAATAATTTATTCAAAAATAAAAAGTGAGGAGGAAAATCATAACACAAGGCTGAATTGGGCAAGACAACAACAGAGTAGAGATGTTATTTTTAAAGCCATTCTACCACCATTCTGGGAGACTGAATACACTACAACATGACCAGAACTTTGATTTTTTCCAAATGTCAAAATCTGCTTTATACACACTGCCTCTGCTATTACTATGTTCCACTACCTAAACAAATAAACAAATGAATTGAAAAATTTGAGGCAAGCAAGCCAGCCAACAGAAGTAGTTGAAAAAGCTACCCATAACTGGAAAACTAGAAGCTCCTGAGCAATGATTGGTAAGTGCTTCACAGATTTAAGAGTTATGTTAGATTCTGTACTGCTTTTCAACAGTGACTGCTGCCTTTCACCCACAGAAAGAGAATGGCCTTTCCTTTTGAATAAAGACCTTGACATTATAACTCATGTATTTAATCACCACCACAACTGAAAAATTATATGGGACTAATGGAAACCACCACATAGAAGCTACAACTAATACAACATGCAGAAGCCGTTTACTGCCCAACAGAGACTAATGGGACATCACACTGGAGCTATGAGCACTCTGCTAGCTACTTCCTTATGTCTCCAGACAGAGACAGCAAAGGAGCCAGCAAAGCTTCTCAACCTTTTAAGATTCAACGCAACCCTAAGAAACTACCAATTCTTAGCTTTCACTCATTGTTTTGACAACAGAAAAATACAGCAATTCTTTTGGTGTAAAGAGCTAAGACAGACCATACCAGGTCAGAACATTTATAACACTATGGCTACATCTTTGAAATCACTGGGTTTATCTTGTGAACCATGTCTATACACCAAGTAGTGCTAATAAAGTACGGCACCCTGCAGCACCCTTGAAAAGATTAAGGCACCCCAGGGCAATGCAGCTTGAACAGACTAGGACCTGGCTATCTGAAAGGCCATTTATTCACCAGGACAACTGGGCATTACAGAGCTATTGTTACCAATACTTCGTGAGAAGATTTGGGGTCAGAAAATTCTTAGTGGCTACCGCACTGAAGTCCTTTCCAGAGGATATTCAACGAAGCACAAGTTTGCTCCTGTTTAGACATAGCATCTCAACAACAGCATTTAATAAAAATCTGAAACAACGAAAGATAGACTGGTATTTTTGCAGTTTCCTATAAAAGAACAAATACCTTCAAAACAAAACCAACAGAGATTCTGCAATGGCATGGTCATCAGCTAATCTTTTCTGTCAATCAATCACCAGTTTCAGGGAAAACATTTAAGATTTTAAGAGTGCACATTTCCTGTCATAGTTATATAAAAAGAAATTGAACAGAGCTGGAAAAAGGAGCCATCCAGTTCTCCTCATACAGAGCATATTTAGATGATAAACCTGAACTGTCCACAACAGCTTCTTCATTTGAAGTAATACATTCAAGATAAAGAAACTAACTGAAATTATAGAGAATGCAAACAAGCAAAGTCTGGAGCAACAGATTAAAACTTACTATTTGTAGATCTCTGCAGGAAAAAAAAGCAAATAAAGATCTGTTCAGTTGTCCCATAAACAGAAACACAGGGTACTGAGATTTGGGAAATACATAAACACTCTCTCATCCAGATTAGGAAATTCCTGGACTCAGTTTCAGTCTATATAATGAGTATAATTAGTTACAAAGAAAAACTTTTAGGTCAGAGACTCTATCCTCCCACAAGTACATGATAATTTTTCTGCAGGGTATGTTTTCACATGCTCCCCCATCTCTCAAAATAGAATATATTTCCTAGCGCAGTCTCTGGTCTGGTTTCCACCAAAAGTGTTTATGACACCCAATTCCTTCAAAGGACTATTCCACAGACTAGCAGAGTTCCTCATTTAGCCAACTTTTTTCCCTTTTATTAGGCCCGATCCTGAAATTGGAACTGCACTGGCAGACGGCTACAAACAGAATGTAAGTGCTTGCTGGTGGAGCTCTTCATGGGCAGAAGAGCTCATCCGATTTTAAGCCTGAAATTTTACAGTTGGATTTTCATGGTGCAAGCTAACTTTTTTTTTTTTATATAGCATTGTATAACTTGAAACAATTCCCCCCTTTCTTCAGGTTTATAATCTAAAGATGTACAAATGCAAGTAGCTTCATTACTATTTCTCCCCACACGCACATGCATGCCGTCTCATAAAAGAACAGCTATTGTTTTAGAAGTCTTTCCACAACGAACTTCTCTTCAGCTCCCAACTTTTCCCCGCTAAATTTCCCCGTCTGAACTGTTCTTTCAATTCAAACATCTTGAGTGCGGCACTCAAATTAGGTTTTACTAGCTATTTCACCATAAAAGGAAGTCAGGTCCTTGACTTTCACACTGGCCACACTGAGACCTCTTTTTTGGATTATTTTTCTTTCTACTCCAGATGCACTTATTTAACCTCAGTTTCCTATTTTTAACCCTTGCCCTTTGTATTATTTCCCTCTTCAGTGGCTGTTGGCCAATTTAGTACATCCAAGATCTTGATCCTTGGAGTGTTAACAAAGGCAAGATTTTTACCACCCGATTCTGGTGCACACTTATCTACAACTCCCTTTTCCCAAATGCAATGCTGATTTTTTTCCTCTATTAGCTTTCAACAGTGGGAATATATTTTTCATATTCAGATTAATTCATTTCCCCCAAAGTACATGTATACAAACGGGTGGCTGCTACACCCAGCATGTCTCTAGGGGCTCTCAATTTGTCCAGAGAAATACAAGAGAAGCCAAAGCAAGTTTCTCCAAACTATACACTAGTTTACTGGGGCATTATCAATCAGGCAACATTACCAAAAGCAGCTAAATACAGCAGAAAACACAAGGACATAAGTCACTACTAGGTGTTGAGGACTCAGCCCCACCCTCAAAATGGGTCCTCATTGTTTGAGGCAAGTTCCAGACTCCAATCCCTCTGCCTTTGCGTGGGGGAGTTCATGTTCAAATCCCCATATTCCTGCCCATCCCTCCGAAAAAAGGATTTCTTGGCCATTTCAGCAGGCAGCTGGAAACTGAGTCATGGTCTGTGACCACTGTTCTTTCCTAGGGTCCTGTGGCCCCTTATTAGTCCTTATTAGCACTGGGTGTGATAAGTGGCTCATGCATCTCAGCTCCCTTGAAACTGTCCCTCCCAAGCCACTTCTCTCAATGCCAAGGAAGCATGGCTTACATTTGAAAGCTCATCTAACTATCCAACTGCATAGATGGTTCAACAGAAGACACCACCCTAAGAAAGCCTTGCCTCTATGCTAATCCTTGTGACTCAGGCTCAACTGCTTCTGGGCTCAGAGTATCTGGGAGGAGAAATGGAGTGACAAACCCAGCACAGCAAAAAAGGGGTGAGGGGGGTGCTCAAGACTCCCCAGCATATCTAAATCTTCAAGGGAGGAGGGAACCATAAGGCTTGTGCCCACTCCCCGTCAGTGCACTTAACTAAGTCCAGTGTAAACTGACACTTTAAGTGAAATTTCAGTTTCTAAAAGGAGTCTCAACTCCGAAAGGAGACCTGCTTTGCCATCAGTGGCCAGTTCCAGCCACCTGGCTAATGTGCTCCCCAAAAATAAAGAAGCAGGGCAAGTTCACTGGATTGCAGAAGGGAACCCAAAGGGCAGGAGGTCACACTACATGATGTGTATTTCAAAGCTAACAAATGCAGAAGCCGTCTCTTTCACCCAGAGGGAATCTCTTGCCCTGGGGCCGCCCAGGTTTCTCCCTCACTTTAGTTCAAATCATGAGACCCTTCAAGCCCTGGCAGATGATCTCTTGCTGTAAGCACGAGGAAAGCAGACACACTTCCTTTGGCTGCTACAGTTATGCCCCTGACCTCAGTGCAAGTCATGAGACCCTTCAATCCCTGCCTCACGATGATCCCTTACTGTAAGCGCAGGGAAAGGAAAGAAGAAGAAAGGGGGGGGGGGGACGAAGAAAGGAAAGGGATGAGGAGCAGAGCGGGGCGGGCGTGCGCGCACCCCTTGCTCCGACTGCTCGGTACTCCTGGGCGCCGCTCCCGTGCGCTGGCGGGAGGGCGGGCGCTGGGGAGGCGCGGGCGAGCAGGCAGGCGGGGGCCGGGCGCTGGGTACTCACGTATCGGTTCACGAGGGTGCGGAGGAGGCTGCAGTCCATGGCGAGGCACGGGTTCCGCCGCCACCGCCGGGCACAAGCTGCAGCCGCCCCGCTCCCGCATGCAGGAGCCGCCCCGGCAGGCGCGCGTGGGGAGCGGAGCCGCCGCGCCCCCTC